TTCGTGAATCCGGTACAATGAAATGTTATCCATATTGGCCATTAAAAACAAAAGAATATCTTAATACAGGATTATATCAAATTCAAAATGACAAATCTGATCAATATGACAGTTTTATAATAACAACATTATTATTAAAGAAAAAGAATAATTCTGAAATTCGAACTATTTGTCATGCACATTATCTTAAATGGCCTGATCATGGTATACCAACTGGAACAAAAGATGCATTATTATTTTTAGAAAAAGTTGAATATTATAAAGAATTAACAAAAACAAAATCTCCAATACTTCTTCATTGTTCAGCTGGTATTGGACGTACAGGAACATTTTGTGCAATTGATATTGGTATAAGACGATATTTAAATGAGAAAATTATTGATATACCATCAACAGTTGTTAAAATGAGACAAGAACGTGCTGGTAGTGTTCAAACAGAAGATCAATATTTATTTGTTTATTTAGCTTTGATGGATTTTATTAAACGACAACAAACTATACAAGAAAAAATTCATAATTTAGAATTAACAAATAGTAAAAAATCATTTGATTTAGATCAAACAATGAAATCATCTTTAATTAATACATCAAAAATAATAAATTTACAAGAATCAGTATCTCAACAAGTTAAAATATCAAGTGATTCTTTAGTAACAAATATTCAACATTTAATATCATCTACAAATGAAATTATTCAACAACAAACTTCACTAGAAAGAATTTCACTAATGCCATCGACTAATGACAATGAAATAGATAGAAAAATTCGTGCATAGTCATTAATATTCTTTGTTTTTTTTTGTATTATGTTCTCTACTCATATCTGTGAATATTATACCTTTATTGTTGTTTGTACTTATCTTTCTTACACAAACCTGTCTATGTCATTGTTGTTGGCATATTTTTTGTCCTTTGTTTTTTTTTGACATAAATAAGCATTCATCGAAATCGAAAATTAAATTATCTGTACTTTTTTTTTGATTCCGTAAGAGAAAAAAGAAAAATATTTTGCTGTGTATCATCGATGCAAACCATTTTAATATGATATATGAATACGTGAGAATTATGAAGGAAAGGATTGAGTTTATTAAGCTATGATGGAGTATTTCAATAATATATTTAAAATACTGATAATTCAAGTTTTGTTTTTATATATAGAGCATGTTCATTAGTCTGATTGATGAATTATATGTTTCAGTCATGAATTTTATCAACGGAGTCTTTAATAAATTATTGATGCATTGCACTGTAAAATATAAAACAACTAACATTGTTGTAATTAAAATTTATATAAAACCGAAACATCATCTATAATCTTGTAGAATGTAGAATATGAAATCTATTTTTAACTTTGACATTTGTATATAGGAAAATTATCTATACGATTGAATGTACAGCTATGTTGCCCGTTTGTTTGCGCTGCTGACATTATACCGACAGTAGATCGCTGATCGGAGAACAATCGTTTAAGTATTAAGCTACCGTCGGTTGATTGCCGAGTTTTTGCTACTGCCGACAAATACCGCTGGCATAGCGCAAATTATACCGAACACTCCATCGACAATTTTTGTCCGGTTTGAATCACATCATAAGTAATGAAAACATCAATCTCAAATAATAAAATAATTTGTTCTTTTTTTGAACTATCTGATAAGCTTGACTTTGTATGCATATAATCGAAGAGACCTGTTTTATACAGCATAGTCTTTCAAAAAAAAAACATATTCTAAAAATATTCTTTTGTTTTTTTTTTTAAAGATTTTAATTTAACTATTTAGAAAATATTGTCTATCAATCGAAATGATATTTATTTAAATTTTTTTTTACAGTAGAGTCATTTCTTCTTTGAAGAAATGGTTTATATTACTCATTCTCGTTTCTTATTGTATAACGAACTTGATGTCACTTGTTCGATAACCCGAATATTATCAGATGCTTTTTTTATTTAACTCAGTTATTGTGTTTTATTGAGAGTCGACATACTAAGTAGATTACATTTATTGATTTATTACTTCCTTTTTAGTTGCATCATTGGTTACTGATGTATATAACATAGTGTAATTCTTTTTTTTTCTTTATGTTATACGTACGTTAAATATTCTTCGTCTCTCTCACTAATGAAATCATCGATTTTTGCTTTAATAGCTTTTAAGTTGTTATTAAATTTTGCTTATTGTAAAACTGAATCAGCTGTATCACAATATAAAATAAAATAAGATATATACATATATATAAATAATTATTTTTTTTTTGTATTTTCATTTGATTTAATATTACGGATTTTCAGTCTTTTTAGTGGACGTCATAGTTATGAAATTATAAGTACAAAAAAAATGCTACATATAAATTTTCAATTCGAAATACACTTTTCGATTCTAGTAAAAAACAACTTGTTTTATTACAAGATGGTAAACAACGTCATATAGTAAATAGATTTAATTATTTCCATGTCAAATACATGGTTATGTAGATTAAACATGACATTCTTAAATTAGTGTCAGCATGAATTATTAATGACTTAGTTAAAGGTCGAGCATTTAGTACAAGTAAGAGTCACCTCAAACTTATTGCTCAAAAGAAATTTATGACAGTGAATTTATTCACTATACAATCGAAGAAAATTTCTAGAAGCGTAACTCAGCATTGAAAGTAATCAGAGGCATTGTATACGTACTTTCCAGAAGCAGAAGGAAGCGTTACTAGAGCCCATCGAGTTGGTCCAAGTTCGAAAATTGTGAACCCGATGGACCGTAGGCGTGACCCTTCACGCGCTCCTATACGTTTAGATAATCAATCAATCAATCACTATCTCGAAAGATAAATATCAAGTAATTATCTATTTCTTTATCGATAACTGTATACATAAAAAAAATACTCTTACAGATTGTAAAGATTGAAAAGAACAGATTTCATTTAGATACATATTGCTTAATAGTCTATGATAATATTAATCGAACTATTATGATTTTTATTGTTATCATTTGTTAACGAAATTTGAAAGCATTAAAAATAACAAAAGTGTTTCTTTCTATCATCATATGCGCGCGTAAAAAAAAAGGACGTAAATTNTGGAAAGAAAAAAACAATAAAAAAACTTTAAAAATAATAAAATTCTTGTTTTCTTTTTTGATTTTTATAATATACCGTCGATTTTTAAAATTTTGTTTTTCAAGTTCTTCAGATTTTTCAGCAACTAATTCTTGAACTTCTTTTAATTGTGCATGATAACGATCAAGATGAAGTTTTAAATCAGCTGATGTTTGTGCACTTTCAATTGTTTTTCGTTTATGAGCATCTAGTGTTTGATGCATCATACTTAATTCTTTTTCAAGTATAAGTACCAGAGGTCCAAACAGGTCCACTTTTTGAAGGCCTGGCCTGCCTGTGACAGGGTTACATCCCTCCTAGCCTGCCTGTGTCTGTTCTCTGATTTCCTTGGCCTGGCCTGCCTGCCTGTCTAGGCCTGTGTATTTTTTTCACGTCAATATCATGATAAAAGTACCATAGAAAGAAGTAATAATCTTCATAAAAATTCGTACTAGTGACTGAATTCAATCTACATCACTACATTGAAAGTCTGTAATTGAAAAGTCCATGAGAATTGTCAGCTTTCCAATTAAACAAAGGTATCATGCTTCTTTATAATTGAGAGCATGTGAAACTAAGGGTAGAACAAAGACTGTTCATTTCCAAAGGTACTTCTAGTTAGACGGAGTATAAAAAAGTATAGTTTTCAGTTCACTCACAAAACGTTTTCTCGAAAGAACGATCGATTTCTAGTCAAAATCGCTCGGCGAAAATTGGCATCGTTCTGAATAAGCAAGTAACTTCATTAAAGAGACAGCTACAATGCCTACCTGTAAAAACTGCGGACACACTTTCATCGAAAAAGTAATTCATGTAAAAGTTAGAAAAGATCCATTTTAAATGACTAAAATCATTATTCCTTTATTGGTTGTCAATTGGTAGGGAATCGATTACAATAAAAACAAATCAAAGTCAATTCATTATCGATTCCTAATTGATTAAAAATGTATAATGTTACTGAACCTATAATCAACTTTTTGCATCACTTCTTTTATAAAGACTAGATCTGCATTCGTCACAGCATCAGAAAATTTAATTTGATATATGCTTATTCTTTTGTCACCGCTTAGCAAAAAGTTAAGGAATGCTACACCGTGCTTTAGAATGCTGGTACCTTCAGAGACCTTGAATATTTTTTCGTGTAGCTTTCTCTTCTCATACTTTGTAATAAAACATTATATAGAATGTTTGAAGATAATTTTACGGTATATATCTTTCAACTTGAAGTTAGATGACAATTAATAACAGTATATAAATAGTAAAATTTCACACAAAAAGCTATTTATGTCTTCTGGACCATCCGATTTTTAATTTTCTAAGGCCTTGTATAAGTAAAAGTGAAAGTAATTATGGCTGTCTGTATATAAAAGAAAGGCTCTCCTTCAGCTGAATAAAAAAACGCGCGACGCAGTAGGGATGTGTAAATAATATCAACTTCGAACTCTATCCTTTTTCAGAGTTGGTGATGTCTGTGGGTATTGACAATTTCACAGGTACCCACATACGTTGAAAATTTTCATTACTGATTAAGAGTTTACGAACTGAACATTGGTGATATGTAGACAAAATGAAAACAATGCTAAGATAGTCAACGTGTGAAAGATATGGGATTTTTGTTCAAAAATATTTTCATTGAACTTCTCATGCTAGATCACAATGTCACTTAAAGTATTGGGATCAAGAAAGAAACAGAATTCAATCAGTGGTAAATCTGCAACAGAAAAAAGGATTTAGAATCAATTAATTTAATTAAAATTGAGAAATATAACAAGTAGATAATGATAATTATGAAAATTTGTGCTCATCATCTCTTCAGAATGGTAAGGGTATTGATTTCCTATAAGTATCTTTAATACTCATTCCGTAGTATTTGTCTGATTCACCGCGCTT